GCTGGAACTACAGGCATGTGCCATCATGTCCAGCTAAATTTTCTTGATTTATTTTAGAGATGGGGGTCTCACCAAGTTGCCCAGGCTGGTCTTGAACCATGGGCTCAGGCAATCCTCTTACCTCAGTCTCCCAAAATGCTGGGATGGTAGGCGTGAGCCACCGCACCCAACCTGATTTGTTTTTGTTGTTGTTGTTTTGAGTTGGAGTCTCACTCTGTCGCCCAGACTGGAGTGCAGTGGCCGCTCCCGGCCACCGCAGCATTGACTTGCTGGCCTCCAGCAATCCTTCCGCCTCAGCCTCCCAAGTAGCCGGAATTACAGGCACACGCTACTATGCCCAGCTGATTTTTTGATTTATCGTAGAGATGAGGTCTCGCTGCCCAGGCGGGTCTCGAACCCACGGGCTCAGGCAATCCACTCACCTCAGCCTCCCAAGGTGCGGGATTACAGGCTGAGCCACCGAGCCCGGCTCCTGATTTGTTTTTTAAAGTCTGGGTCTCACTCTGTCACCCAGAATGGACTGCAGCAGCAAGATCATGGTTCATCACAGCCTCAACCTCGTGGGCTCAGGCAATTTTCCCACCTTAACCTCCTGAGTAACTGGGACTGTAGGCCCATGCCACCATGCTCTGCTACTTTTTGTTTTTTGATTTGAGTCAGAATCTCACTCTGTTGCCCAGGCTGGAGTGCAGTAGCATGCTCTCAGCTGTTGCAGTCTTGATCTGCAACAGGAGATCCTTCCACCTCAGCCTTCCAAGTAGCTGGAACTACAGGTATGCACCACCCCACCCAGCTGATTTTTTTTTGTAGAAATAAAGTCTTGCCAAGTTGCCCAGGCTGGTCTTGAGTCCCTGGGCTCAGACAATCCGCTCGCCTCTGCCTCCCAAAGTGCTGGGATTATAGGCGTGAGCCACCATACCCAGGCTATTGTTTTAAAATGATGAAACGCTTTTTTTTTTTTTGAGTTAGAGTCTGTCTCTCTTGCCCAGGCTGGAGTGCAGTGGCACGCTCATGGCCAATGCCACCTCAGCCTGCTGGACTCAAGTGATCCTTCCACCTCAGCCTTCCAAGTAGCTAAGTTTTCCTGGCTAATTTTTCTTGATTCATTGTAGAGATGAGGTCTCACCATGTTGCCCAGGCTGGTCTCAAACCTGTGGGCTCAGGCAATCCTCTCGCCTCAGTCTCCCAAAGTGCTGGGATTACAGGCATGAGCCACCATGCCCGGTGAGGAAATTCTTCTTTTTGAAAGACTTCTCGTGGACATTATTCTGGCTGAATGACATACCTAGAATTGTGGTGAATTGTGCTGTATGCGGAAAGCCTACCAAGTTTGATAAAGCCAAAATGTTATTTTATTTCTTTACTTTTTTGAGTCGGAGTCTCACTCTGTCGCCCAGACTGGAGTGCAGTGGCATGTTCCCAGCCACCGCAGCCTCACCCTGCAGGGCTCAGGCAATCCTTCTACCTCAGCCTCCCAAGTAGCCGGAACTAGAGGCACGTGCCACCACCCCTGGCTAATTTTTTTATTTATTGTCGAGACAAGGTGTCGCCATGTTGCTCAAGCTGGTCTCAAACCCCTGGGCTCAGGCAATCCTCTTGCCTCCACCTCCCAAAGTACTAGGAATAAAAGCGTGAGCCACCACGCTTGGCTCAAAACGTTGATAGTGGAGCTGGATGATAGAAACAACCTGGGTCTTGGTGACTGAATAAACCATGGAATAAGCCATCCCTGGATATCTAGTTATACAATAGCTATCTCTGTTGTTTAAACTCTCTTGAGTTAGTTTCTGTTATTTGTAGTAGAAACCATTTAAACCAAAATGGAGAAAAGTGTGTGTGTGTGTGTGTGTGTGTGTGTGTGTGTGTGTGTGTGTATGTGTATAAGGTCTGTAAAAGTGTAGCCGGGCTTGGTGGCTCTATAATCCCGTGCTTTGAGAGGCTGAGGTGAGTGGATTGCCTGAGCCCGAGGGTTCGAGACCCACCTGGGCAACTTGGTGAGACTCATCTCTACAATAAAATAAAAAAATTAGCCGGGCGTGGTCACGTACGCCTGTAGTTCCAGCTCCTTGGAAGGCTGAGGCGGAAGGATCGCCGGAGCCCAGCGGGTCGAGGCTGCGGGGGCCGGGAGTGGCCACTGCACTCCAGTCTGGGCGACCGAGTGAGACTCCAACTCAAAAAAAAAAGGTCTGTAAAAGTGGTACTGGGTAGTGTTTCTGCTCCTTTTGACAGAGTATTTAGTCAAATAGCATCCCTTTAATTGGACCTCAGGCCTTAAAATTATGAGTCTAATGCAGTTATTATAATGTTGAAACAAATTCAGAACAAAACAAGGTATTATCCTGGACCTCAGAGTCATGGTTTAGTCATGACAGTTACTATTTTTTTGTCTCTCTCAAATATCAGAAGCAGCTGGGCACGGTGGTTTATGCCTGTAATCCCAGCACTTTGGGGGAGACCAAAGTGGGAAAATCGTTTGAGCCCAGGAGTTCGACTAGCCTGGACTTCATAGCAAGACCTCATCTCTACAAACCCTTAGCTGGGCACAGTGGTGCACACCTGTGGGTTCAGCCACTCAGGAGGCTGAGGCAAAAGGATCACCTGAGCCTAGGAGGTCGAGGCTGCAGTGAGCCGTGATAGTGCCCCTGTGCTCCTACCTGGGCAACAGAGAGAGACCCTGTCCCCCAAACAAGCAATCCAACACCAGAGGCATTAAGCTTGCCAGTGTGTCACCTTCTGCCTGTGTCCTACCCCAGTTTAGCATGGGTGAATATCTTAGTGATCACATTGCTCTGAATGCCGGGGACCAGCCATCCTCATCCCACCACCCTTGATGGGTCCTCCTTGCCCTCTGGCTGAAGGCCAGTGGGCCTCCTGAATCGTATTCTAGAACCTGCTTCCTGGGATCACACCCAGTGGCGGCAACCTTAAGCGAAGGGCCCTGGAGGCAGCGATTCTCGACTGGGCAGTACTTTGGGAGGTAGAGGTGAAAGGATTGCCTGAGTCTAGGGGTTCGAGACCAGCCTGGGCAGTTTGGCGAGATCAACAAATCAAGAAAAATTAAACCGGACTTGGTGGCTCAGCCTGTAATCCTGCGCCTTTGGGAGGCTGAGGTGAGTGGATTGCCTGAGCCCGCGGGTTCGAGACCCGCCTGGGCAGCGAGACCTCATCTCTACAATAAAATAAAAAAATGTGGTAGCACATGCCTGTAATTCCGGCTACTTGGAAGGCTGAGGCAGAAGGATCACCGGAGCCCAGCAGGCCGAGGCTGCGGTGGCTGGGAGCGGCCACTGCACTCCAGTCTGGGCGACAGAGTGAGACTCTGTCAAAACTCTAAAAAAAAAAAGAAAAGAAAAATTAGCCAGGGGTGGTGGCACACGCCTGTGGTTCCAGCTACTTGGGAGGCTGAGGCAGAAGGATCGCCTGAGCCCAGCAAGCAGAGGCTGCGATGGCCATGAGCGTGCCATTGCACTCCAGCCTGGGCAACAGAGTGAGAGCCCAACTCAAAAGAAAATAAAAAAAGAAACAAAACAAGGATTCTCAGGCAAGTGGTTGAATTTATTGCTCTCAGGAGAACAGAAGGAAGAAAGCAGGAAGGACGGGGGAAAGCCAAGCCGGGAAGTCCTCTCAAGAGGCTGGAGACCGGCTGCACCTGCTCCTCGGGGAGCTTGAGACAGGGGTCCCACTGCAGAACTGGCTCCACCTTTTGTCCCACGATGGCGGCCAGTCACTGGCTGTGAGCTGCCTGGAGTGAGGGTGGGGGTGGGGTGTGTGTAACACTTGCAGCAGTGGGGGTCAATGTACCCAGTGACGCGGTTCCATCAAGGGACCTAGGCAGAGCATCAGCAGTGACTGCTAGTTTCCCAGCTCACTCCTAGTAACAGCCAAACTCCTACACGACCCTGTATGATGAAGCCCACCCCTGCCTGCCCACTCCCTTTATCTCTGAGACCATCTCTGGCTACCGTCCCTCTCCCCTCCCCGCTTTCAGCGACACTGGCCACCTAACGATTCCTGCAATTCTCCAGCATGCTCCTGAGTCACCCGTCTGCCCCCTCCCCTGGAGTGATTCCCCCACCCCTGCCACGTTCTCATGACAAGCTCCCTTCTGTATCTTTCAGGTCTCTGCCCAAAAGCCACCTCCCAGCCGGGTTTGGTGGCTCAGCCTGTAATCCCACGCTTTGGGAGGCTGAGGTGAGTGGATTGCCTGAGCCCGTGGGTTCGAGACCCGCCTGGGCAACTTGGCAAGACCTCATCTCTACAATAAATTAAAAAATTAGCCAGGCATGGTAGCGCACACCTGTAGTTCCAGCTACTTGGAAGGCTGAGCGGAAGGATCACTTGAGCCCAGCAGGTCGAGGCTGCAGTGGCCGGGAGCGGCCGCTGCACTCCAGCCTGGGCGACAGAGTGAGACTCCAACTCAAAAAAAAAGAAAAAAAGCCACCTCCCTAGTAAGGCTTTCTCGGGTCGCCCTAGCTGAAATGACCGCTTCCACCTCTGACCAACGCAGATAATCCCTTTATTTTAATGACTTTTATGCTTAGCATTTATCAGTATCTATCATACTGTCTGGTCTTCTTATTTGTCTTATTATCTGGTCCCAGGCTACAATAGAAGCACTTAAAACAGCACTTCAAGCGCTGGGAAGGACTTAAAACAGGATCTGATAAGCTTGTAGGGCTCAGTTAGTATTTGTTGAAGACATTCATTCATGAGTGAATGAATGAATGAATAATTCCTGGCACAGTGTGAATTCTGTAAATATTGTTTGCAATGGAAACTGAAATGGAAACTATCCCACATCGCCTTCTTTGCGATAGAGACAGCGAAAGGGAATATCTAGTGTCATCTGTCAGGTTCTCCATCGATTGTATGTTCTTTCTTCAACAACATCACAGAGGATTAATTTCTTCAACTGGCATTATAAGTATGCAAGTGAATATACAATACACTATATATACATATAAATATGAATAAAAATAGAAGCATGAAGATTTTAAAATTTTATTTGAATGAGTTCAAGTCAAACTCCGTGTTCCAGATCTAAGTACAATAATGTTTAGCAAAATTAAAGTAAATACAGGTTGTATTGATAGCCCAATCTCTAGAATGCAAAATTTAAATGTGACCACGGTGGTGAGAAGATAAAAGTGTCTAGAAATAAAAAACAAAGATGAAACTATTGAAGCGCTTGACTGCAATGTCCTATTCTGATCTCAGAAAATAAGAAAACTATTCATGAGTGTGAACTCGCAAATCTCTCCATCCTAGACCCTATCCGCAGATTCCAGAACTCTTGAAGACACGTTAGCGTTTTCTAGAAAGGAAGACTGTTTAGACACTAAGCGTCCTAAGGAGGCCAGAGTGCCCATCAGACACTCGATGGCGTGTTTTGCGGAACCGTCTAGAGCTGAGATCAGCCTTGGACCGAGGCAGCCTCCGACCCGGTGCCGGCATCTTCCTGCAAGTCGTCCCCTGCAGAAGGCCCTGGCTCTCCTGCAGAACTTTCCTCCAGCTCGGCACCTGCGTCCGGGCTGTCACTCTCCGATGTGTCTTTATCCTCATCGAGGGCAGCAGCTTCATCTGGAGGGGCATCCGTCACCTCTGGGGTGGCTCCAGATGGGACCTCTGCGGTTTCACCTGTGGCTGCGTCTGTAACCTCTGGCCCAGTCTCACTGCTTGCTGCCTCCGTGGTCATCTCAGGAGAGGCCTCTGCTGGCGTCTCGGGAGTGGCTTCTTCTGTCTTCTCTGGAGCCGCGTCCTCTGTCATCTCGGGCGCGGCCTCCACTGCCGTCTCAGGGGCGGCCTCCACGTCCCCCGGACAGGCTGAGGCCTCGCTGGGGACCGCAGCCGGGGCCTCTTCGACCCCTCCCACCTCGGCGTCCAAGACAGATGCTTCCAGGGCTTCGGAACCTGCTTTCTCAGCGGCGGCAGCATTCTCCTTCTCACCTTTAAGACGTGGTCATGAAGCAGAGTGTTAGCTCAGAGAGCACGGGAATGTCGTGGAATACTGTGCGGTCATGGTCAAAGGAAGACAGGTCTACATGCGTGGGTATGGGATGGTTGCACTCACGCCCATAATCCCAGCACTTTGGGAGGCCGAGATGAGAGGATCGCCTGAGCCCGCAGGTTCAAGACCAGCCTGGGCAACTTGGTGAGAACTCATCTCTACAATAAATCAAAAAAATTAGCCGGGCGTGGTGGGGCGTGCCTGTAGTTCCAGCGGGAAGACTGAGGCAGAAGGATCGCCTGAGCCCAGCAGGTCGAGGCTGTGGTGGCCATAAGCGTGCCATTGTACTCCAGCCTGGGCAACAGAGTGAGACCCTTACTTAAAATAAATAAATAAATAAACAATAAAAACACGTGTATGAAAAGGAACTTAAAACCAGCAAAGTGCTAGGTAAATGTTTTTTATTATTACAACCGTCTCATAATTATATTCAATAATACTTATTGATGATAGTCTGCTTCTTATTACTGTCATGACTAATAGGTTAAAACTGACTCATAAGCAGCTAATATCTCTGTCGCTAAATAGAGATCATAGTCATTGATAATAATGGCATTATTGGAAAAACATATGATTTAAAGCAAGCAGTTTAAAGCAAGAAATGTACAGGAAGGTGAAAATGTAGCGTTTGTCTTCCTATGGTCATCATTTTAACAACTGAAAGACTAAACATGCACGCCTGATTTTACTCACGTCAAATGTACTTTGGGTAAGGGCAGACAGGTAATCTTAGACAAAAATGAAAGAAAAATCAGTTTGTTTGTTTGCTTTGTTTTGTTTTTTGAGTCACAGTCTTACTCTGTCACCCAGGCTGGAGTACAATGGCACGCTCATGGTCATAGCAACCTCTACCCACTAGGCTCAGGCGATCCTTCTGCTCAACCTTCCAAGTAGCTAGAACGACAGGCCTGCACCACCATGCACGGCTAATTTTTTGATTTATTGTAGAGATGAGGTCTCACCAAGTTGCCCGGGCTGGTCTCAAACCCCTGGACCCAGGCAATCCTCTTGCCTCTGCCTCTCAAAATGCTGGGAGTACAGGCATGAGCCATCATGCCTGGCTAGAAAAATTAGTTTTATGATTAAAAAAAAAAAAATGAGGGGAATGAGAGGTCAAGCTGCTGAGAGAGACAGATGATAAAATTATGCCCGCGTGAATGGATGCTTGATTCGGGGAAAAATAATATTATCACACAAAGAGGCCAAAGCCACTGGTCAGCAACATCCACGTCAAATGTGTTCATTCATCAAATGCACTCATCCAATGGTGTCACGGAATTCTCTAGGTTTTGGTGGGGCTTTTCCTTTCTAGGTGAACTCCGGCTCTGGGAGGCAGAGGTGAGAGGATTGCCTGAGCTCAGGGGTTCGAGACCAGCCTGGGCAGCATGATGAGACCACGTCTCTACAATAAATAAAAAAATTAGCCAGGCGTGGTGGTGCCCGCCTGTGGTTCCAGCTACTTGGAAGGCGAAAGGCTGAGGTGGAAGGATCACCTGAGCCCAGCAGGTCGAGGCTGCCGTGGCCATGAGCATGCCACTGCACTCCGGCCTAGGTGACAGAGTGAAACTCCGAATCCAAAAAAAATAAAAATAAAAAATAAAAATAAGCCGGGCTCGGTGGCTCAGCCTGTAATGCCGCGCCTTTGGGAGGCTGAGGTGAGTGGATTGCCTGAGCCTGCGGGTTCGAGACCCGCCTGGGCAGCGAGACCTCATCTCTACAATAAATCAAAAAATCAGCCGGGCATGGTAGCGCATGCCTGTAATTCCGGCCACTCGGAAGGCTGAGGCAGAAGGATCGTTGGAGCCCAGCAGGTCGAGGCTGCGGTGGCCGGGAGCGGCCACTGCACTCCAGTCTGGGCGACAGAGTGAGACTCCAACTCAAAAAATAAACAAATAAAAAATAAAAAATAAGTAAAATAAAATAAATGAATCCCACCCAGAGTCATTCTGGATGAAGTCAGCAAAGAAGCCAAAAGCAAACCGTGTTCATTCCTAGACCAACATGCTGGGAACTACAACCTCGAGAAATAATTAAAAAGACAACATCCTAGGTGAAGTAACTCAGGAACAGAAAGCCAAGCACCGCGTGTTCTCACTCACAAGTGGGAGCTCAACCCAACCAAGTATCCACAAAGACACAGAAGGCTGGGAAGGGAGGAGAAACGCAAAGTCACCTGATGGGTGCCCTGTGCACAGATAGGGATGGAGGGTATACTCAAAGCCCAGGCCAAAAACCATCTGCACCTCCTAAAGCGATTGGAATAAAATAAATATATAGCTATAAGTAAAAGATTAAGAGATTTATTACCTTGAAGAGGAGGCAACTCCGCTTTTGTTTTTTCTTTCAGATTTGTTATATGCTCCGTGTGTTTGGCTTGCTCTGACGTGACCGTCTTATAAGCCTGAAAGTAAATGCAGGCTGAGGTTTATTGCTTGAGCTTTATGATTCGTCACACCAAGTTCAAAGACGTGTACGATTCTCCATGTGATCATCATTAGAAGTTTAAGCCAACCAGGCACAGTATCTCATGCCTATAATTCCAGCACTTTGGAAGGCAGAGGCAAGAAGACTACCTGAGCCCAAGGGTTCGAGACCAGCCTGAGCAACTTGGCAAGACGTCATCTCTACATTAAATAAATAAATAAATTAGCTGGGCAAGGTAGCCTGCACCTGTAGTCCCAGCTACTTGGAAGGCTGATGAGGAAGGATCACCTGAGCCCAGCAGGTCGAGGCTGTGGTGGCCATGAGTGTGCCACTGCACTCCAGCCTGGGCGACAGTGAGATTCTGACTCAAAAAAAAAAAAAAGTACAGAAACAAGGAACAGATGAGTAGTTGGTTGCCAGGGGCTTAGGAAGAAGGCAGAGAGGGCAGTTGGGAAGTGGGTACAGTGAATTCACACCCACATAAACGAGTACATGTGTGAGTAACAACTGGTGGATCCAAGTAAGATCAGTGGGTTGTCTCAGTGGTCAGTTTCCTGGTTGTGAGACTGTCACAGTCATGGAAAATACTATCATGGGGAGAAGCATGGTGAAGGGCACGTGAGATCTCTCTGTATTGTTTCTTTTAAGTGGATGTGATTGGCTGGGCGTGGTAGTTTATGCCTATAATCCCAGCCCTTTGGGAGGCAGAAGCGTGAGGATTGCCTGAGCCCACCAGGGGTTCGAGACCAGCCCAGGCAACTTGGAGAGACCTCTTCTCTACAATAAATTAAAACATTAGCCAGGTGTGATGACATGCGCATATAGTTCCAGCTTCTTGGCAGGCTGAGGTGGAAGGATCGCCTGAACCCAGCAGGTTGAGGCTGTGGTCGTTATGAGCCTGCCACTGCACTCCAGTCTGGGCAACAGAGTCAGACTCCAATTCAAAAACAAAAAATAAGTGCATGTGAATCTGAATTATCTTGCAATGAAACATTTTTAAAAACCTTCCAAATCAGCTGGGCGTGGTAGCCGCATGCCTGTAATTCTGGCTACTTGGAAGGCTGAGGTGGAAGGATCGCCGGAGCCCAGCAGGTCCAGGCTGCGGTGGCCGGGAGCGGCCACTGCACTCCAGTCTGGGTGACAGTGTGAGACTCGAACTCAAAGAAAAAAAAAGCCTTCCAATATGATGTTTTGCTAGATACTAATGAAGATGCCTTAGATAAGCTAGAGTTAGTTATCAAAAGCAACAATATGACCTGACTGTAGGTTACTTAAGAAACAGTACTGGGGCCGGACACTCACGCCTGTAATCACAGCACTTTGGAGACTGAGGTGGGAGGACTGCTTGAGTACGGGAGTTTGAGACCAGCCTAGGCAAGATAACAAGATCTTGTCTCTACAAAAAAAAAAAAAAATCAAAAAATTAGCAGGGCATGGTGGTGTGTGTCTGTAATCTCAGCACTTTGGGAGGCTGAGGTGGGAGGATTGCTTGAGGCCAGGATTTTGAGACCAGCCTAGGCAACATAGCAACCTCTCAACTCTTCACCCACCAAAAAAAAAAAAAAAAGGCTGGGCATGGTGGCATGCATCTGTAGTCTCAGCTACTTGGGAGGCTGAGGTAGAAGGATTTCCTGAGCCCTGGAGGTCATAGCTATGGTGAGCTGTGATCAGGTCACTATACTCCAGCCTGAGTGACAGAGTGAGACCCCGACTGAAAAATAAATAAAAGGATATCTGAAGATAGAGCATGATAAAAACAAACAAGCACTACATATTGTTAGGAATGGAAGGGGACACAGAGTTATCACCTTGCCCAACTTCCATCTCCCTTACAAGAGAGCGAGGCTAGGAAAAGCGCTCAGGGATGCCAGTCGATAACCTTTCAGTTTAAGATTCCTTTGGCAAAGAAAGAGTTAATGGACTGGAGAGGTTCAAGTCTGGCACTGTGTGATACAATCACAGCTATAGTGACATCCAGATGAAATTCAGTCTTCCAGCTTCCCAGGTCATCACATAGCCTAGTCCCAATCTCTGGTTCATATTTTTCTTTTCTTATTTCTTTTCTTTTCTTTTCTTTTTGAGTCAGGGTCTTACTCTATTGCCCAGGTTGGACCTCCTGGGCTATCCTTCCACCTCAGCATCCCCAGTAGCTGGGACTACAGTCGGTTGCCACCATGCTCAACTAATTTTTTTTTTTTTGTGGAGACAGGTCTTGCTATGTTGCCCAGGCTGGTCTCAAACTCCTGAGCTCAAGCAATTGTCCCACCTTGGCCTCCCAAAGTGCTGGGATTATAGGTGTGAGCCACTGTGCCCAGCCCCAATCTCTGTTTTTTTTTCTGTGGCCTGTGACCAACTAGAGTGGCCCTGGGCAGTGAATTCATCATTAAGCAGTAGAAAAATCAATCTGGGTATGTGTGAAAGTCAGCAGGTTCAGAGAGGGAATCAGTATAAGTGACATGTTTGAAGTTTCTTGACTTCTTGAGGCTCTCAAATTCTGAAGATAATGACTAGCTAATTTATGATTTATTGTAGAGATGAGGTCTTGCCAAGTTGCCCGGGCTGGTCTCGAACCCAAGGGCTCAGGTAATCCACTCACCTCAGCCTCCTTCAGCCTCCCAAAGTGTTGGGATTACAGGCTTGAGCCACCCCACCCGGCCTCTTTTTAAAAAAAATTCTGAAGATTAGAATATCAGCCGGCATGGTGGCTAACGCCTGTAATTCCAACACTTTGGGAAGCAGAGGCGAGAAAATTGCTTGAGCCCATAGGTTTGAGACCAGCCTGGGCAACTTGGCGAGACCTTGTCTCTACAACAAAAATTTTAAAAATAGCCGGGCATGGTAGTGCACACATGTAATTCCAGCTACTTGGAAGGGTGAGGTGGAAGGATTGCCGGAGCTCAGCAGGTCGAGGCTACAGTGGCCATGAGCATGCCACTGCCCTCCAGCCTGGGTGACACAGTAAGACTCCAAGTCAAAAAAAAAACAAAGGAAAGAAGAAAAGAATACATGGTTTGGTTTGGCCATCTTACATAGTCCTGTGAAACTTGTAAAAATCCCCATATGCATATTTCTGTAGGGACAAACCAAAATTTAGTGACTGTGTACGCTAACAGAATTCTAAAATAATTTATACTTATTATACTTTCATACATAATGAAGATTAGATTTCAATTAAGAATGTTTATAGCCGGGCTCGGTGGCTCAGCCTGTAATCCCACACCTTGGGAGGCTGAGGTGAGTGGATTACCTGAGCCCGCGGGTTC